AGGAGCAGGAGTAGGAGCAGGAGCAGGAGCAGGAGCAGGAGCAGGAGCAGGAGCAGGAGCAGGAGCAGGAGCTGGAGGAGGACGGGCGGGGGGACTGATATTGCTCCTATCAGGTGTTTGTACATCCTTCCCGTTGTGCATTGCTTTGTGCCCTGTGGGCCTCTCTTCCTGTCCAGCGCTTTTCGCACTTCTTTTTCCCATCGTGCACGGAGGAGGAGGATAAGGAGGAGGAGGAGGACGACGGCGACAAAGGAGGCCGGTCGTCTTGAGGCCTCTGGAGGTCTTCGGAGGTCCCGAGGGCCATCTAGAGGCCCAGAAAGCATTAGGCGGCGAATCCGAATCCTTGAACCTTTGGCTGATGGGGGGGAGAGTTGCGTCAATTTTCTGATGCAAGGGACGTTTCGCCTTCCGCCGGAGCGCTCCTCATCCAAATGTGCGCGACGGCATGCCTGCGACGGGGTGACGGCAGTGAACTCACTGAAGGACAACACTTCTCACTGAAGGCGTTTGTTTTGCCTTCAGTGGAATCCTCGAGCTTGGATCCTCTGCGTCAGCGGGGGTTTCGCTCGGGGAAGGGGGCTCCCAAGAGGCCATGCCTGTGCTCGACTTCGTCCGCGAGCTCGCCGCGGGTCCGCCGGCGGCCGCGGGCTCCGGCGTCGCGGCGGGCACCACGGCGCCGTCGCCGCCGCCGCCGCCGTCGCTGTCGGTGTCGTCGCCGCTGCCGCCCCCGCCGCCGCCATCCCAGAGACCCGATGCCCAGAACAAAATCGGAGCGGCCGGTTCCTCGTTATTTTCACCCTCTGGGGGTCCTTCACGGGTCGACTAGACGTAAGGGTTACCCTTCGCCGGAGTGACCTTTGGTGCGGGACCATTGGGGTCTTCCGATCGCTGAATGCGATGCGACAGTAGCGTCTTGCGCGCTTGGGTTTGGCCCCCCTGCGGCCCCCAAAAAACCGCGCACACTCTTACCCAAGGTCACTGTTGCGCGTAGTCGAACGGGCCCCGGTACCGTCAAAAAGCGAGTCTGGATGAAAACCAGGCCCTCTTGCTCTTCTTGCTCCTCCTGCTCGCCTGCCCCCCAGTCCCCCTCTTGCTCCTCCGCGCCCACCCGTCCCCGTCCCTTCTGCGATCACTCTGCTGCTCCTGCCCGCTCGCCCCATCTATGCCTCCTGCCTCCTCCTCCTTCCTTCTCTCTCCTCGGTCCCTTACCTTCCCCTCCTCCCTGCTCGTCCTCCGCACTCTTCTAATCCTCATCACATACCATCCATCCTTCTCCGCCTCCTCCCCCTCCTCCCCTCCTCCCTCCTCCTCCTCATCCCTCATCCTTCTCCTCCTTCCCTCTCCTCCTCCTCCTCCTACCTCCTCCTCCTCCTCTCCTACTCCCTCCTCCTCCTCCTGCCCTCCTCCTCTCTCCTCCTCCTCCTCCTCCTCCTCCTCCTCCCCCTCCTCCTCCTGCCTGCCCGCCGGTCCCCCGAGAGCTGCCCGCCTCTGCCTGCCCGGCGCTGCCGGTCCTCTGCCCGCCCGCCGGCCTCCGAGCCCCCGCCGCCTCCCGTCCGAGCTCCTCGTGGCCGCCGCCGTCGTCGGCTCCGCCCAGATTGGCGGCGAGCGTCGTCGTCGTCGTCGTCGTCGTCGTCGTCGTCGTCGTCGTCGTCCGTCGTCGTCGTCCGTCGTCGTCCGTCGTCGTCCGTCGTCGTCGTCGTCGTCGTCGTCGTCGTCGTCGTCGTCGTCGTCGTCCGTCGTCGTCGTCGTCGTCCTTTGTCGTCCGTCGTCGTCCGTCGTCGTCGTCGTCGTCGTCGTCCGTCGTCGTCCGACGTCGTCCGTCGTCGTCGTCGTCCGTCGTCGGGGAGCCGTCCCTTGACCTCCCAGGGCTTGTGCCAGCCCCCGCGCGGGGGGAAGGGCGCCCGAGGCAGCGGCCTCCGACCCCATGCGGGGGGAAGTGCGCGCCCAGCCGCGTGCACGAATATGGTTCCCCAGTCTGCGAGACCAGCCCCGTGATGCGAACGTTCGCGCAATGCTCACTTGCGAAGTCAGCGTGAGCGACGCAAAAAATGTGGGTCGTCTGCGCCGGCACTGGCGCGTAAGCTGTCCGCGTAAGGTCGCGCGCAAGCGTCCTCGTCCCCAATGTGGCGTGCCGCGCCGGCGGCCCGCGTAAGCCACCGCGGAAGGTCGCCACGTCATCTCGCGTAACACTCGTTTTTGATCGTCGCTCACGTGGATTCATGCACGTTGGTTCATGTTCATGTACGTGCACGTGCACGTGTACGTGTACGTGTACGGGAGGGCCCCCCCCCGGCAACGAGGCAGCGATCGCAGCGCGCTCTCGAGGAGCGCCGAGGCAGCAGATCGAGCCCCTCTTCGACGGCGAGCGAGCGGGGGAAGGGAGAAGGAGAAGGCCTTCTCAGAGGGCGGCGGGGCTTCTCAGAATCCCTCTCTGGCCTTCCGAGAAGTTGTTCGTGTCTTCGGGCAGGGCTTGGGGAGCTTCTCGGAGGGCCGGGGGACTTCCGAGCCCCCCTGGGAAGGCCCGCCCCTCCTCGCCTCCCCTCCGGGCTCGCCGCCGACCACGCATTCTCGCTCAAGACGCTGCGCGTTCACCGCCCGCCATTTCCTGTGCTCGCCGCGTGCCTCGAGGATGGCCGACAGCAATGCCCAGGCTAGCGACGAGCGAGGAGCAAAGAACGAGGAGATAGCATCGATGAGCAAGATCCTGAGGGGAGAGGAGGGGGCGGGTGAGGCGGGGACGGGCGGAGAAGAGAGGGAGGGGGTCACCAGGACGAGGATGATCTGGGGCACCTTCCACCCCTTCCCCCTGCGGGGTGTCCTTGTGCGTGCCCCTGGCGCGCCTAACACGGCTGATCCCGGCTGGTCCGAACAGCGAGATATGGCCCCCTTCCCGCGTGCCCGTCGGGGGGCGGGGCGTCGCGCGTCGCGCGTGGGCGACGTGCGCCGGTTTCGCCAGCATGCGGTTTCGCTGGCGGTCGGTGTCGACCGTGCGGGGCTTTCCGACGGTCGGTTCCGCCGGGGTGGGTTTCGCTTGAGTGGGTTTCGCCCGTCGGATTTTGCGGGTGGTCGGTCTGGCCCGGGGCCGTGACGGACGGGTCAGGCGGGCGGGGCCCTGCCAGGTGGGTCGGGCGGGCGGGGCGCTCTCCGTTTGGGCCCTTGCTCTATGCAGGGAAGTAGGCTTGCATTCTCGGGGCCCTTCTTTGCCCCTCAAGTCGGCAAGTCTACTTCGCCTGCTCAAGCCAGATGTGTTGGAGTTGACCCAGGGCGCCCGCGCCAATTCCACCCCCAATTCTAGCCCCATCGGGGTCAAGTTAGCGATTGGCCTCCTGAACATATCCCTTTAATAACAACCAGCTAGGTAGTCGATGTACGCTTACCCTTGGTATGCTGATCCGGCCGCCCTAAACCGGTAGTGCTTCTGGCGGACTGGGAGCGTTGCAGGGCTTCACCTCTTCCTTCTTCTCATCACTAAGGTGATACAGCTGGCACGAGGGCTAAGAACATCCCACCTTTGGAAGGGGTGCCCTTGTGATCTGGAATCCTGACGGACTCCTCTGTTTTTTATGTATTCCCGGCGTTGTTGTTGTTGTTGTTGTTGTTGTTGTTGTTGTTGTTGTTGTTGTTGCTGCTGCTGCTGCTGCTGTTGTTGTAGTTGTTGTTGAACATGATTTCTTCTTAAGAATAATTATTGTTGGGACCCCTGGTGCGCGACCCCCCTCCAAAACCTAGGCCGCAGCCTCATTTCCTTCATTTTCTAGCGAAAGCTTCAGAAAAGTGGATTGTCACCGGATCCGGTTTTTTGTTCCCCCCCGCTTTCCCTTGCAAAAAACACTATAAAATGAAATTTCTTGTTCAAATGTAATCAAATTTCAAGAATCCCTTGCAAAAAATAAGGTAAAGTTGACATTCGCGCGTGCAAGACGAAATCCTTCCAAAAGCTTAGGTTTCCTAACGATTTTAACATAAAAACATCAAAAACCCAATGGTTTTTTAAGAAAAAATGTCAAAATGTCCTTCCGCGCGCGCTGTCCGAATCCCACAAAACCAATGGTTTTTCAACATTTATGTTACATGAGCTCGCGCGAGCTACTTTTTCTTGTTCTAACATAATCAAATTTCAATAATCCCTTGCAAAAAATAAGGTAAAGTGGACATTCGCGCGCGCGCAAGACGAAATCCTTCCAGAACCTTAGGTTTCGTAACGATTTCAACATAAAAACATCAAAAACCCAATGGTTTTTCAAAAAAAAATGTCCAAATTTCATCCCGCGCGCGCTGTCCGACTCCCACAAAACCAATGTTTTTTCAACATTTATGTTACATGAGCTCGCGCGAGCTACTTTTTCTTGTTCTAACATAATCAAATTTCAATACTCCCTTGCAAAAAAAAGTAAAGTGGACATTCGCGCGCGCAAGACCAACAAAAAACACGACGATCTCAGGAACTTGCCCAAAAAATGTGACCAACTCCGCTCTCTCTGTCTTTCTCTCTGTCTGCTCTCTGTCTCTCTCTCTGTCTGTCTGTGTCATGTATTGTATGTCACAATTGCAGGATGCTGGGCACACGCGCGCCCCGAATAAGTGACCAAGTTCTGTGGGTGTGTACCCCACGCCAGTGTAGTAGCCACGGTCGTCCGCACGCCACGAAGTGAAGTGTCCCAACGTCATAGGGCGGGAAGCTGGGTTGGGGTGGTCGCGAAGAGTCGTTGGATATGGTAGGCTGGAAACTGCCCCCCCACGAAGTGGGGGATTGTCCTCGCGTCGCATGAAAAACCCTGGCACTGCCACTGGTGAGAACACTGAGCGTTCGGTAAAAATGTTGTTGTTGTTGTTGTTGTTGTTGTTGTTGTTGGGGGGGGAGGGGGTTGGGGACCCCGGGGCCCGGGGACGATTCTTGCCCACCCCTGGAGGAGAGCGCTGGAGGAGCCCGAGCGCCGGGGCCCAGGGAAGGGCCCTGTCTTTGTTGTTGCTGTTGTTGTGACAGTCGTCGTTGTGGTTGTGTTTGTGGTAGTGGTTGTTGTTGCTGCTTTGGTGTTGTTGTTTTTGTTTTTGTTGTTGTTGTTGTTGTTGTTGTTGTTGTTGTTGCTGTTATTGCTGTTGCTGTTGTTGAATTCTCATTTCTGAAGAATAATTATTGTTGATCCCCCCCACCGGTGCATACTGTTTTTTCTCAATCAAAGTGTGCTCGTCGACGCTCGCACCCTGTTTTTTGACAGGGAAAGGCTTCCTGCTCAAACTGGCCCCCTGGCCCCCCGGTTACAACAACAACGGCTCCCGCCTGAGACTTCCTTGCAATTTAGGCAGGACCCCCGCTCCTGCCCGAGATTTCCTCGCATTTTATTCAGGAATCGCGCTCTCGTTTGGTACTTCCTCACAATTCATTCAGGAATCGCTCTCCCGGAGCTCTGGAGTCGCGCTCTCGCTGGAGACTTGCTTGCAACTTACTGAAGAATATCCTTGCGTTGCAATTTCTTTCAATTTGCCCACGCGCCGTGCTCCCGACACCCAGGCACCCAGGAGTCGCGCCCGTTGTGGCCCCATGTGCATGCCGTTCGTAGTCCCGCTGTCGCCATTTGTGTCCCCCTCATTGTCCTACGTGGCCCAGTTGCTACCCTCAGTGGCCCCATAGTTGCCTTCTGTGGCCCCGCATTATCTGCACTTCGTGGCCCCCGC